ACTAGAGGTCGGAAGTTTACAACGAGGAAGTCGCGCCACTTTTTTGAACTCTCGGGTTTGAGACAAGGGTATCCATTCGAGAGTGGCTGCTTAGTAGTCAGTATCATAAGGAATAAAACCGGTTTTTGCTGTAGTTTTTTACAAAAATGAGAAACGATTTTTTTTTTTTTTAGGGACAGCCGTTTTTCTTATTTCAGGATGGGGTCTTCGGACGGGGACTGTAGCTGTGATTTCTCGAAAATCGATGAAAAGAATGTTGATCAAGTAATTCGTGACTTTCAGGCGAGTGTAACCTTTTTTCTACCGTCATTTATCTTCAATTTTTGTTTGGTTTATCCCAACGTTTTCATCGAATGTGATGATTTTGAAAGAGTTGCTTGACTTGGTATCTACTAAGTTTTAAACGTGGTGTTATTTTAATGCAGTGCTTAGGATTTTTTCGCATGTTTTGGTGTTCGATCCCGTGTATATAACCGACTCTGTATTTAAGTATTGAATTTTTTGTTTTTTTTCGTTACCTTTAGTTTTATTTCGTGGCGTTAATTTAGGGCTAGTTGTCTGTGGGGAGGAAGGTCAAATCGTGAAACGTGGTGTTTTCAAAATATTTGTCTTGAAAGCAAAATTATCATTTGCTTAGGGGTTCAGGAGAGCACCGGGCATTGGAAAGTATTCGGGGTGACTGGTGAGGTGTGGGATTTCGTAGCCGACCGCTAAGACATAAGTTAGGGAATACAGGAACAGTAGTTAGGGTCGTTTGGGACCGTTTAGTAGTTCCGACACCAAATGGTTAGAGCAACAAGAACAAAATTTGTGCAATTATTAGGTGCTTCATTTTCCGAAATATTGCCCCACTGTTTCTGTCTTTTTTTTTACAAACTTAGTCGAGATTTGGGTCTATGTAACGTATCTAGAAGTTAGCACTAGGCATAGCTACTATTATCAAACGATATAACATAAGGATCTGTGCAGAGGTGGTCTAGGAAACGAAAAGTTCACCTGTTTACTGTTAAACGGGAATCCGCAATACCGTTCGAAAAGGTATTTGTAGCTGCTAGAAGTAGTCTTGGAGAGGAAAAGAAGCGGTATTGGTCTATTTTTTTCAAACTGGTTTATGAGTAGTTTGACGCTTTTTGACTTACGGTTAAAGGATGAGGAGTTTCTAATTTTCATGGTGTTTTGCCCTCTACTTCATATCTGTACCCAGCGGTATTTTACTTCCCTCAAACGGCAATCGTTGCACTCCTTAAGTGTTCCTCCAAAGTGATGTTCTAAATCATGTTTGAGCAAAATAATGATTTCATTATGCTGCAGTGAGTGAGTCGAAGTTGTATTGAACTGTAATTATTACAGGCGCAAAGATCTGTACCTATGGCAGAAGTTTCAGATTTTGATTTTGTTGTGGGGACAGCAGATGTCAGTTAAAGAATGGTGGTTTAACGGTTGAGTTGCAAGGTTATAGTGTTTGCGACAGCTTTTAGTTGTTAATAAATTTCAGTTTTAACACCACTGATAGATTTGAATTAGAATTTTGGCAACCCAGTCTCATTTATCATAGAATAATATGGGGTAATCATTTAACTGTCATGATCTGAAATTTTTCATAGTGTATTGGTTTCTCAGAGAGTGAAACAAATGAGCAGGTAAAAAGATATTTCTCAGTTATTTTTAGGGTTTTCATCTTTTAGTTACAATTGTTTTTCAGACGGCTTTCTGCTCATCATTTTTTGAAGCTGGCGTTTTATTTTGCATTTTTTCCTTATAATTCAGGTTCTTTTCAGGAAGAGTATGCTGCGAGAACCAAGGAGGAACCGGGCGAAATCTTGAGTTTGGAGGAGGAACAAGCCTTGCGACTGACTTTAATAGAAGCAACTCAAAAAAAGAAGAAAGGATCAACTAGTAACCAGATCTCTAATTTAGTGAAGCCTTGTTGTAGCCATGAAGGTGAGGCGGTTTTGTGTGACTACTGGATTTTTCTGATGAGTCTTGCTTCTTTTACATGGCGATAGATATCACAGAGGTTCGCATAGTTGTTTAGAAGATTCAAAAAAGAAAGTGGAAGAAAATGGATTGTGTTCTTTCAAGGGGAAATCAGCTTGGGTGCCGCTTGTCAAACGCAAAGCGAAACATAAACAAAACAAAAGTCAGTTATCAATTTTAAGTGTTTTTCACCCCTGAAATTCTGTTTAATGCAGCTGCATTACATGAAAACTTCCAGGTTGATTTTTGACTATGGTTTTATGTTATTATTTTTTAGTTTAGAATTATAGTTGTTACTCAAGAGGGTTTTTCTGGTTTGTTTGCAGATGAAAACTTAATGCCGCTTAAAGTAACAGTTGTAAATGACGCATACGAAGGTGCTCAAGGTTATGTGGCTAAAAATCCAGGAAGCAGAGAAGCATTTGGGGCAGATTTCTTGGAGAATATATCAGGTTCCAAATCGTCATGTGCTGGTCCTTCTACGTCAAACGATTTATCTAGGACAAACGAGTATGCAACTCGATTGGTTTACTTTGCTTTGTCAATTGTAGTTAGTTTTTTAAATGTTTGCTTCACGTAATGTAATTCTTTTTTGCCAAATGAGAAGCTTTAAAATTTTTTTAGCATTGATGCAGCACTCCATGACATTCGTTTAAAAATCGAGTCGAAGCATTTTGGTGAGAGTAGTTCTAGTTCATGTCGCATTGATTACGATAATTACGACCAAATAGGTATGGAAATCGCCGATAGTGATAAAGGTTTTTTTTTAGATTATACTTCTTTTCCAGGCTTGATGGATTTTTTCATATTTATAAAGCTTTTAACGGATTAAAATTCTTCGCCATATTGTGTGCTTTAGAATCTCACTCGAGGCCTCAGTCATCTGATCCGTTCCCATTCACTGTTGGGTCAAAAGACCAAACAGTTCTGAGCGACAAGTCCTCTACGTTTGAAAATTATGATGAAGCTGAAGCTCTACGTGCTGCATTATTAGCTCAGGTAGTCTTGTACTGCTAACAGTGCCTAGTTTTTTTCGAAGGGTTTCTTTTCAATAAAATGTTTTTGATAAATATTTTTGCTGATTTTGCTTCATGTCTTTTTCTGTTACGGTAGGTAGTGCGAATCTTTAGTTTCTTTCAGTAGTGGCTGAAAGCCATGATTATCAAAAGAACCCTTTTTTTTTTCGGCTTTTAATGTGGTCATTAAGCATTGTTTATAGCCGTTCAAATTGTCAGAATGACCACTATACAAAATATTTAATTCTTCCCTTATTAACAGGTGAAGAAACATAGGAATGCAGTTATTGAAAAGAGCCACTTGGAAGAAGGTGAAATTGTAGGAGACTTTTCTGATAATACAGCAGAGGGTGCTGAAGTAAATGTGGTGACTTCAAATGTCAAAAATTCCAGTGAACCTTTGATGGGCTTGGAGACAAAGTACGTTTTTGATCAAGACTCGCGGGCACATGGTAGGAGTTGTTACGATTGCTATCTGTGTCTTGAGAGGATTTGTGTTTGGCATGGTCTCTGTCGCACTGGTAGTCCTGCGACGTAAAGATTTGATTCTGAAACTACGTGAGAAAAGATTTGTAAAGAAAATTGCTCTTTTATCGCCTAATTCTGAAGCATTAATTCAGCTATAAGCAGCGGCTTTCTGCCGCAAGGGAACAGTGTGGTAAGTGATCCTCTGAGTCAGTTTAAATGATAATGGCGAATAGGAGGAGTTTTTATTGTTGGCCAGGGTATGTTGTGGTGGGTTTTGGTGAGCACAAAGAGTGAGCTATAGTTAAATTTGAATCTTTATAGGATAGGTTTCAAAAAGAAGAAATCCTTTACTTTTTTGATACGAAATAACAATCAGTTTTTGAAGGCAAAATTTTTTAGAGGTTTTACAGAACACATTTATGAGGAGCATTTTCGGTATTTTTTGTTGCATTTATTTTTGCTCTTTTTTTTTCTCTGTGAGGCCTATTATCTCATATTTATGTTACTGCATGCTCTTGAAATTTCAGAGTCCTAGGGGACGCTGTAAAAGCAATTAAAGCATTTGTCGAGGTGAAATGCGCTTTTTAGGTTTATCTGCAGTTGCTAGCTTAGTCAGTTCAACGTAGTCTAGTAATACTTAACGGCATATCCTCAGTTTTAAGATTTTGGATGTAAATATTGCTTGTGATTTTGGTGTACGGATCTTTTTGCGTGTGTTTCTTGTTCGTATTTATGCCTTAACTGGTTTGAAGCTTCATTATACTAGTGTGATGAATTCTTTAAAATCCTGTATGCGGAGTTCGCGTAAAAATGGTTATTATTTTTTCTTCCCTGAATTTAGCATTGAGGGAGGTTCAAAGTGTGCTCGACCGTGCTGTTAGGTAACCAACGATCTGTGCTAATATTTGTGGGGGACTGCAGTTTTGGCGTTTTTATTGGCACTTGGATTTGAATTTTTCAGAAATGAACAAGAGAAGAGTAGAATTAAAGCGTTGGAAAGGCAGCAGGGGAAGTATCGAAGTCAAAAAGCGGGTTCTCCAGATTTGAAAAGCAGTAGAAGAAAGGTCTGGATTGTTGGGTTTTGAAACTGAATTGTCATTTTTCATTGCTCGCTTTATTTAAATTTAGAATGATTCATATGTATTTTTCTACTGTAGGTTTTCCAAATTTGCTGGGTTCCGTAACTCCTGAGCTTTTGTCTTTCAGTGCAGTTAGTCGAGTAACAATCAAACGATAGTTCTTTTAACGTTTGCTGATCGTGTTTGTAGTTCCTAACCGTTCACAATATAATTAATAAATCTAATATGTTTTCAGCTGGTTATGAAATTACTGGTTAAGTTCCGATATTTTTTTTAGAGTAGTATCTCGTGTTATTAACGGCCTCAACGGAAGTTGGCTAATTAGTGTAGAGTGGGGGTTTTTGCGTTTTTTTATTTAATTTTATAAAGTTGAACTGAATGGAATTCTAGCGCCGGTATGGACGACATTCTTTGTCGAGCGATGATGTAAAAGAAGGAGAATCTGCAGATGCAGTTGAATCAACGAAGAAACGACGGTTGGATCGTCGAAAGAGGAGGTTCAATGGGTCAATTTATTTATTTGTGTACTTCTTCTGTTTTGAAATTACTTGTTCAATTATTTGGGAGGTTGTATATGCGCTCGTACCAAGAACGATATAAATGGAAGTGGCTTTTTTGGAGTAAAAGTTTTACTTTTTTTCTTTTAATGTCTAATTTTTTGTTTTATTGTTCTGTTAGAAGCCGCGGAGGAGAGGAAAATGTGGATACTGATTCATGTCCAAAGACATTGGAGGAGTGGGATAATTTGATTGAGAAGGAATTAAGAGGGAAGAAGAGTGCCGAAAGGAAGGTTCAAAAGACGGAGTGCCGGCGGGATGAGAATGTACGACGTCGGGATCAGTACCTGGTTAGCATCATTTTTGTTTCTCGAGGTCTGCAGGGGTAATTTTTAAGGGCTTATTATTCATTTTTAAGCCCGCTTAAATTTTGAGAGTTTGAGAGTCGAATTCAGTTTAGTTAAAATTTTTATTAAGAAGTCAAGTTGCGATTTTCCAAGTTGTGGTTTGAAGGGTTGCTACTTTTTTTTTTGTTTAGGAAAAAGCGGAAATTCTCTCTCACAGTATTGGTGTCCTTGACGGGGAAATAATGAAGTATAAGAGCAGTTTAGAGCGGATTAGAGGCCGAGTAACAGCTTTTCAGAAGGAGAGAGATCGGTTAGAGAGGAAGCTTCGTGTGGAAAAGCTCGCAGTAAAGGAGAAGAAAAGGGAAGAAGTAACAAGGAGTTTGATTGGTGGTAGTAGCTCAGTGTATGAAGATATGAACGAGGATTTGAACTTTGCATGTTCAAAAAACAGTACTTTGGAAGAGGCTAGAAAGAAACTGCTGTTCTCTGGAAATCAGGATCGAGGTTCCATGCTTACAAGAACGAAAGCTTATCAGTACGGAGGAATATTTAATGATGATAGTGGTGATATAGGGACAGTAACAGCAGAGAAGTCTAGGGAACTTGAACAGTATTCTTCGTCTTCAGGAACTTCATCTGTTTCTGAAGAAAATGTGGAAGAGACCATTATTCAATTATCAGATTCCGAGAAGGATGTGCATGAGATGACTCCGCCGGATATAGTCATATCAAAAGTAATACCAACTCCGTCTTCTCAATTGGAAAACAAAGAAAATATTGTTGGTTTTGAGAGGATGACTGTGGATAACATTTCCAGAAAAACCTTCCGTTTTTCGCAAGGACGTTTACCACTTTCTAGAGAAAGTGTCAGAGAACTTAAGGATAACCCACTACTCATGTTCAGCGGATATCGGTATGACTGGAATTACTAACTTTTGTCAAGTTGAAAGTGTTTTTAGGCTTTCGGTTGCGTGACGTGTCGTCTGAGGGGGAATTCCTAGTAGGAGGTCCTTTTGGCTGTCACTTGTTATGATTTTATCCTCATTTTTTCCCATTGCCTACCGTATTTTGCTTCCTTCAAGCCTTTATTCTTTTGTCTGGTTCCTCGATCGTTTATGTTTAGATAATACAGGAACTGGTTATAGGCTGAAGTTTGTTCGTCTTCTCATGCCGTCAGTATTTTACTTCGATATGTTGTTCTACTGTGTTTAGGCTTTGTCGGTCATTCCCACTCCCTTTAATAACGCATCCAGCAGTGTCAAATAAGCTGGATCCTTTGCGACCTCTCTGTTATTACCAACTGTGTGGTAAATGCGTGGACGGGACTTGTCAGTGGTTGGTTTAACGTTTCGGAATTTTACTTTCTATAGTTGTGAGATTATTTTGTCTTTTTTGTTGCTTCTTTTTTTTTCACTTTTGCTGTTGTATGGGAGTTGGCTCATTAGAGATGGGGTCGTAGTTGATCTTCTTGTAGAACACCCCCCTTACAATTTTTTGGTTATTATTATTTTTTGTTTTCTTTCTTTATTATTATTATTTTTTTTCTTTTGCGGTACTCAGTACAACTAATTGCTTCAGGCAGCACGAGTCAGATTATGTAATGAACGACGAGGAGGTTGTATGTAGCGTGTTAGCACACTGCCCTTCCTTATGCCCACCAGACAAAATGTTCTGTAGGTTCTTTTAACTCTCACATGCAAGTCAAAACTAAGCTGTACAGTTTTTTGGAAAAGGCAGACAAGCTGTCTTTTTTTTGGGTGAATTAATGCAGTTTGTGAATTGGATCTACTAGGGAGATGTTGTGGCCATCGTGCGCATATGGTTTGAGGGATTGTTGCAGCGAAACTTGTAACTGTGACGGGGAGAGAGAGCCGTATTTTTAAAAAACTTTAATTTAGCAAAAGTGTCTAATTCTGATGAAGTACCTGATGTTTTCTTTGGTTTTCCTGTTTCAAATCTGTTTCTAAGCTGAAGTATGCTGATAATTCCTTTCATATTGCGTTCAGTGTTGCTTTATTGAAGTTTTCAAAGTTGCCGGGCTTGAATTTGAATTCAAAACTTTCGATTCTTAGTATTACTCGCAAGGAATTGAACTCGTTTTACTTTATAAGCTTCTCAAAATTCAGCTACATAAAATTATGGCCTAGTGGTATGTTTTTACAGCAATTTCCACACGGTTGTAAGAAAGAAAAAAATTCGCAGCAGTGCAGAGTTGTGGAAATACGAACCCTCTTCAGATTTTTGTGTGTTAGTTATAAGCCGCTTTACTGCGCAAGATAGACCTTACGCGCTGCGGTACATTATATATTTGTCTCCCTTAACTTTTTTATCATTTCCCGGCTAATTCAGTCGCATTCTAGGGTTCTACATGGGAAAAGTGTTTGTTGGCATTTGTTTTAGGATTGTATCATATTAGAGCTGTCAAAATTATATGACGGATAGTGTAGCTGCCTATTTTTCACGATCACTTCCCCTCACGAGTATTTTGGAATCTCCAGTACTAATTTATTTCTTGCAGATGAGGTCGTTTTGTACCATCCATCATTAGTATTCTTTGAAAACTAATTGCATTCCTGATTCACAGTATTGCTTGCAAGAACTAATACTGTGAGTCAGAAATTCTGAATGCAGAACAGGTTGGAAACTAAGAAGGTTCGTAACCATGGAACTAAGAGTAATATAAAAACAACGGAATCGATTAATAACACGCATATAGCACAGACAGTAGTTGTAATTGTGTCTAAGGGTCGTCACAGTAACATTATGGCGATCGATTTGAAATTGAATGTGCCAGCAATTGGGGATTCAGCAGTAAACTTGATTTTGCATCTCAGATCGCTAAAATATTGCGCATGAAAAGGTATATGTAATATCATATTCTGCAGTAAGGGACTAGTATCACCTTAGGGTTATGATTCGTTATCCCACAAGTAATGCTGATACACTGAGCCACGTTAATTTCTCTGTACCTTTGGGCTTTTGTAGCAGTCTATAATTGTTACGTAATGGTACATTTCACATGTAAGTAAATATTTGGTTAGATGAACGCTCATTGTATTGAAGCATTTAACTTGGAGGGATGAGCACATCTCTAAAGAGGTACTTCGGGTACAGCAGTAGATATCTTCTATCCTTTTCATTCAGAAACTTATTTCAGTTAGATTGAGCAGTATGGTAGAAGTGGTGCTTGTTTAGCTTTAAAAGAAAATCAAATCCTTTTGGTTTGGTCGGAATTTGATGCTTTAGTTTGTCAGTATAGGGGGTTGTTAATGCTTATTTTGCACTGATGTGTTGACATATTGTGGTTGTTGTGAACACTAAGGCCTCATTTTAGCCATTTTTGTGAAAGGCTTTGGTTATGTTCCTCTGCTTTGCAATATTTCTTTTATCGGTTTCATTTTTTTAAATTTCAGCTGATTATGCACGTGAGGTTTTGATGCAGCATTCTCCTTGCCCAGTTAGCGAGGTTGTTGAAGAACTTCTTAGTCGTTTGCCAGAGACAGATCGTACGATCAGTGCTTGTGAGATGGCTGCAAAATGTGACATTCCTAGGGAAGAAAACGACGGTTTGTTTTTATGCAGTTACAAAAGGTTTATATATTTCAGTGCTTTATATTTTAAGGGATTGGATAATGTATCTAGTTGTTGCCTTTGTAAATCATTTTTTTAGTGCTTTGGTTGTTCGTAACGCTATGGTTTGGGTTCTTTTGATATTTTTAGTGCTGCACCGCTGTAGGAACGTGTGCAAGGAGCATTTCTGTTTTATATCCATTGTTCATTTTTTTAGTTCAAAGACTTTATTTCTAGCCGTTTTCCAGCCTAAATGGAGGTGGTTTTCTGGTCTTTCGTGGGTGGAAAGGTGTGCAAAATCTGTTTTGTCTGCAGGAGGGATTAAGTTTCTAAGTTATCTTAAGAAGAACCGTTTTTAAGGGGGGGAAGGGAAGGAGGAG